AAATCAAGCTTTTCTTTCCCTTACAAACCAAATAGGATGCTTAGGAAAAAAAACAAGGAAAATGAAAACCCAAAACCCACGACTGAGCTGTCTGTATGATTATGTTCAAACATAGAGCCACGCGCCTCATTAATGGGGAAAAAGGAACCCTTCCCTTTCCAAGCTTATGGAAAAACAAGAAAGGAAATTAAGGAGGGTTGCCAAAAGGGAGTTTGTGGACACTAACGCCAGAAGAAGACGCTCTGGGCAATATGTTTAACCTAGTCTTCGCGAGGCTAGTAACATTTTTTGACGTTACACCAAAGAGGAATGCTATAGCTGCACCCACGGAAAGAATAAGAGAAGACTTGGCCAAAAATAGAAGAAAGGAAACCAAGGGATTCCTAGGTGAAACTGGAAAGGATCTTTCGGCCTATAAAATGAGGGGACACAACAAGAACGAGGAGGAGAGGGGACTAAGGCAAGACCGCACCAAACAGAGCAAGCTTTCTCTAAGTGCAGAAAACCTTAGTTCTTGAGGAAGAAGCTTTCCTCACGTTATGGGATTTCTTTAAGTTTCCAGTAGGCTTCCTTAGTCACAACAAAATATTTCCTGAGTATTAAGAATCCTAGATTAGCCACCCTTAAACCATGCAAGTAAGCACATGCTTTCTCTCTCATGCTAAACTAGTGAACTTTTAGTTTCCACACCATGCTTCTCATACAAGTTACAATTTATGTATCATGCAATCAATTGCTAAATTGGAGACATTAATTCAACAGGAATACTTTCTAAGATATGCTAATTTTTTTGAAGTATTTCAGGCACTACAACAAAAGCGGTTTAATGTGTCGAAGATAAATTCTTCTAAACTCAATTGTTGCTTCAAAAACTGAATATCAAAGAGGATGCCTTCAATCACAACATCAAGTTGCATTTTCCCATTGAGCATGTCCATGAGACATTTGGAATCTGACTCAACCTGACAACCTCAAAGCCCTTGTCAATACAAGCCATCACCGCCACTCGTATCACTTTCGTCTCCGCCATTAAATTAGACTCATAAAGCAAGCTACCTCCGCCACTTGCCCCCTGAAAAATGCTCGCAAAATCTCGTGCCACCCATCCAAAACCACCTCGTCTTGACGCCTTGATCCAAGCTCCATCACAGTTGACTTTAATTGTACGAAAAGGTGGTCGTGCCCAACTGGCAAGTAGAAAAGTACTCACCGGAGCACCCCTTTGCCGCTGAACCTCGTCTATACACGGGACCTCCCCTTTCTTCAAATCTTCAAACTCACACCTTTGCTTTCTCAATAACATTATAGCTCCATGGGCTCCACAATTTTCCTTTCAAATACTAAGGAATTCCTAGACTTCCAGATTCTCCACAAACCAAAAACCACCCATTTCATATAGCTTTACGGATCTTCATGAGGATATACAAAACTTGAATTTAACAAATAATCAAATATTAGATAAGGATAATTTTGATATCCTTTTGTTGTTTTTTTTTTAAATTTGTTTTTACTATAATAGATGGTGGAAATTAAAAGATTGCAATCGTAATAGAGTTGGAGGGTTGAAAGATAAGGATTGAGAATTCTAATAGATATGCCTACATGATAAAGATTGAAAGATTGTAGGGATAGTTTCCACTGAGGCCCAAATCTAACTCGACCAAAAGGTCCCCAACATATGGGTGACTCCATTGAGAACCAGATCGCAACTCTGATTCAATGACTCTAAGATCTACAAGAAACACTACCGGGAGTGACAACGTCTCAGAGGAAGCAGGTGAGGCTGCTCCCAGGCTGAACAAACCTCAGCTTGACGAGCAGCAATAGGAATGCCAGACATCATTGCTACTATTCGTGCTTTGGGCTTTCGTGCTTTGGGAAAATCTCAAAAGGAGACCGCCTCGTAAAATCCCAACCTGTATCAGATCAATCATTTCCTTAAAAAAAAAAAGGAGGCTATAAGCTGACTTGACGGTGAATACACCACTAGAAATCCATCTCCATTAAATTTTCTGCACCATATCTTCAGGCAACGCCATTTTCGAAATACTCTGAAACAACACAATCAACATTAGAAATGTGAGCATCACCAATAGTTTCAATTAAAGGGCCATTTAGAACTCACAAATCCTTTCAAAACTTCACACTTTCTCCCCTAACAATTCTCCAAGTCATGCCTCTTTTTAGAAGATTAGCTCCATCTAGAATCCATTTCCTATTGAAGCAGATTTTGGACTTTGAAGAACCTAGGTAAAGTAATAATAAAAAGATTTTCTATGAAGCAATATTAGGGAAAATAAGAAATTGTTCACTCTCGACCATTCGAGTACCAGTTTTCACTAGCCCACCGTCACCAGTGTCATACCATGGCAGCCATGGAAATTGAGTACCAGGCTACCAGCCATCATTGGCCGGCCGTCGCTGATATCGCACCAAGACAACCATGGAAATGAGGAGGAGGCTAAACGATTTTGATGGTTTAAAGGCCAGGATGGAATCAATGGGGAATAAAGAAATGTAAGCCATTATATTTCTTTTAACCATTTGGATTAGAAGTCTTGTATCGTATTCACTCAAAAAAACAAACCGAGGATCCAAATCCATATGAAAAACCCTATAAACACGTTATTAATTCACTTGTATTTTCTTCCATGCACAACTATATCACTGGTGGAGCTGGAGCTACACCCACGACTAAGGTAGGTTGTAGCATAGGGAGCTTTAGTTTGAACTCTTGCTAATAGTTTATGTATTAGCCTACTTTGACCTATTATACTTATATATAGCTACTAGTACAAAAAATACTTTGCGCGATGCAGGTCCTTCGTAGCGTAAAGTCAAAAAACGTCGCGCAAAAATTAGTCCAACGAACCTTCATCGTGCACCAATGGTCACGCCAAGGCATTGAAAGCAGGGTTTGCGCAATGAGCACAAAACCACTTTGCGCGACATAGGTTATTCATCACGCAAAGTATCTTTGTGGGACGTAGGGATTGCATCGCGCAAAGTATCTTTGCGTGACGTATGTTACTTCTTCATTGCGCAAACCCTTTTTTTTAATTTAATTTTTAATAAATATTGTAATTAAATTCTAAACAATAATTAATAAACAAAAAAAAAAGTATTTAATTATAAAATATTTATAAATGTACATACAAGATCTCCGAACAAAAAAGAAAAAACTACAAGAAGTAGTCTTCTAGGTTTTATACATCATCCTACTGGGTATCAATTGGGCGAAGTGGCTGGGAGGTCGAAGGTGGAGCAAGATCAGGTGCTGGCATCAGGATTTAGAGGTCGGACATCTGTAAGGCCCGTACAATCATACTCATTTGCTCACCCTGGGCCCTCATCTGCTCGCCCTGGGCCACAAGCTGAGCTTTTATGGTTGTCACTCCCTCCTTTAAGGCATCTGTTTACGCAGCATAACCGAAATAAGTACCAGTCCAACTATGTCTTGTGCATCATCGCCTACATTTTGAGGGACAGAAAAATCCACTAAACCAACCTATACAGTTCAACAACAATTAGCTTATGCCATTTTTTTAGCCTATGAACATAGAACACCCTCTGCACAAACTCATGTGTTAGCATAAATTGATGAGCACCTGATTTTCTTATGCTACAGTTAAGATATTATGATGGGCGTATGTCTGGAATTATTGTTGATTTACATTTGATTTCATACTTATACGTAGTATGATTTTCTGAAAACTATATATGTTTTACGGCGAGGGGTTAGTATGTTCAGAAAATAAATGTGTTTTATAAACCTTTGTTTTTGCCCGTCACACCTTCTGTTTTTGCCCATCTAGGACTTAGTTAAATTCTCTGTGGCGTACAAGGAATCTCCAGTGGTTCTGCCATATCCCTAAATAAATATAGGAGCATATTTCCAGTTATGTAATAAGTACCTTAACTAGATCTGACTTCTCTACTTATATCGTACTGTCATCTATGCTCTGACTACTTATGTTTTTATGGGTTCTTTCCACTACTGCGCACTCTACTTATTAGCTTAAATAAATGTTAGCTTTAGTTTAAATTTATCCATATTTTTATATCACGTTCCTTTTGGTTTCATCACCTTCGGGTGTTGGCCCGCATGCCTCAACTTCGGTCGGGATGTGTCATCTGTCATTGAACTATATTTTGTCTAGGTGGCAAATAAAATGTGGTAACTTAGAAAGATATGACAATGAGAGATTCTCTCATGCAACCAGTTTATCACGTATTAGTCGCCTATTAAATGAAGAATTGAACATATAACTTACACAAGAGAATTTCTAGCAGATGAGAGTGCTTAAATCATTTTTGGTAACACAAAGTGGAGCACACTTGCATTAAGAACTGGAGGTTTTGTGTTCGAAACCTGTTGCTGGTATGGAAGCCAGACTTGTAGCCAAGGGAGATTGAAATTCTTCTATGAGCTTTTCTGACTTCCGAAAAAGGTGGATAACCATGATGTACCACTAGTTATTCCATTTTTAAAAAAGAAAAAAAAACTGTGACAATTTCACCGTTTGTCATCTTCCTGAAGCACCCAATCTCACAAAAAGGGACAAAGGAATTTCTCCCTCTTACTCCCCAACAGTGAAAAGCATCACAAAAACCAGCAATCTTACCCTCAATTTTCACATGACCCGTTAACCTTAACCCCCACCCTCACCACGCTCCCTTCCACACGTGTACCCCACCTCCAGATAAATCCGCATGCCAGCGAATCCACGCGCCAAAAAATCACGTCCACGAAAACACAACTCACACCCTACCAACCTCCATCAACGGTTCTGATCTAACAACCGCCGTTCTCTCTCTCTCTCTAGAACTTTCTTCTCTCTTTCCCTAATTCTAATTGGATACACAGAGAGGAGCGAGGAGAGAGAGAGAGAGAGAGAGAAAGGGGGCGGATAATCGAACGCCGATGTGATTCCGTTTTCTTGAGCTCTCATTTTCTCGGGAAAATAATACTTTCACGGAAAATCTCGGTTTTAGACAGGATGGAGGAAATATTGTCCGATCTGATGGAGTTCTTCGTAAAACCCTCGATAACCGAAACATTCGTCGACATATTGCTTTGTGCAGTCCCGATATGGTTGGCCGTGATGATTGGCCTCGTGATCGGCTGGTCATGGCGGCCCAGGTGGACCGGTCTCCTGTACCTCGGCCTTCGGAGCAAGTTCCGGTTCCTCTGGACCGCGCCGCCGGGGTTCGGTGCCCGCCGCCTCTGGCTCGCCTTCACGGCGCTCTCCGCTTTCTCCCTTTGCCGTACGATTTGGTCCACTTTCAAGGGGAAAGGGAAAGTAACGCCGCCGTCTGCTGGGGACTCGGCGGCTTCGGGTTCGGCAGCCGCCGCCGAGAGCGGCATCGAGATTGTTGGGTGAGTTTCTAGCTGTATCAGCTTCTAATAGTAAAATTTCCTCTTTTTTTTATATATGAAATAGTCAATTGTGTAAGGGTTTGGAACCGACTGAAAGAACATTTTGTTTTCCTTGGAATTCGATGTTTTGGGATTCTTGTGCGAGTGCATTTGGATATTTGATATTAATAGTTCAACATTGTTAAAATGTAATTCATGTGGGAGAGAGGACAATGTTAGTTTTTCCAGCGGACTGAAAACATGTGAGCTAAATTTAAGGGCTTTCAGAATGCAGAAATATGGATAAAGCCACGGTAAAGGACTTCTATATTTTGTCGGGAGATGGAAGAAGCCGTACTTATGGTTACCGATTAGGGTTACATCACTTTTGGGATTTTGTGGAACCACTGGAACTCTGCGATTTTTTATGCGGTTTTTGGTTTTGCTTCCATGAGATTGCTTTTTAGAGTTGGAATCATTGGTTTTGGCATCTTGAATGTGGTGACATTATGGCATTGGAGTTCTTTACATGTGATCTTTCTGAACCGGAATTTTTGTTTCTGCATAGCCTAGGTTGCTTCTGTGTGGTGATGGAATTTTGCCAACCTTTGAAAACGGTTTTAGTTTTTAAGAAGAGTGGATGGAACTCAGCGATTTTTTATGCGGTTTTTGGTTTTACTTCCATGAGATTGCTTTTTAAGATTGGAATCATTGGTCATTATAAAGTTGGTATCTTGAATGTGGTGACATTATGGCATTGGAGTTATGTACATGTGGTCTTTCTGAACCGGAGTTTTTGTTTCTACACAGCCTAGGTTGTTTCTTTCTGGTGATGGAACTTTGCCAACCTTTGAAAACAGTTTTAGTTTTTAAGAAGAGTGGAAGTTGTGCAGAAATGATTCCTTTCTATTTGGGTTTGAGAGTTGTTCATGTTTCTGGTACGATTTTTACAGTTACTGCTATGTTAGTTCAATTACCGGGGATTTCATATTACATGGACTCTTTAACTCACTTGGGGAAGAAGAAAGACCCGCTTTTGTTGGGTTGACACTTGAAATCAAGTAGTTGGCCTTTTTAATTGTTGTATATATGTTGCAGACCTTGTAATTTTACTGTTTTTTTGTCTTAGTGTTTTAGTGTTGCCTTGAAAAACTTGGTGTTTAGATTCTTTAGAATATTGATGTCTCTTTTATTGATTCATTGCCTCATGATGCCTTGACTTCCTCACAGACTCATTGCTAAAGGTGACAAGAGAGTCCAGGATGTTGTCACAGAAACTGATTTGGAGCACCTAGTGAGTTTAATTGGAGGGAGAGAGGGAGAAGTGGAGTGGCAAAGCTTGATGGAGAGGTCGACTGCAAGCATGGCATACAAAGCATGGCGCCATGATCCTGAGGTAGATGCTGACCTTGACTTTTTTCTACCCATTTAACTTTTTAATTTTTGTGTTTCATGTGCTGAAAACATACGTCTGAAAGCTGTTGATGTGTTAGATGTATATTTATCAAGAAATTGTTAATGATTGGGATGTCTATTTTTTATACCTTCCGGTTTCATTCACATATATTTCTTGTGATCTTCAATTGACATTTGACATCATTATTAACTTCATGAATGATACTCTTTTACCCAACCTTGTTGCACAACCACATATGTTATTCCTTTTTCCATACCAAACTGACCAAAGAGTTTGTCGTCTAAAATATCCTTTCTCTTATTGCAAAATTAAATTTTTCATATTGCTATTCCAGTTACCCTGATTCTTGTTTTAGTACTTTAAAATATCAAATTTTTAGTACCATACATAGTATTTTAGTATCTGATAGTGGTTTTGTTTATCAGACAGGTCCCACTGTATACTGTAGCAGAACTTTCTTTGAGGATGCAACTCCGGAGTTGGTTAGAGATTTTTTCTGGGATGATGAGTTTCGACCTAAATGGGATCCGATGCTCACATACTGTAAGATATTGGAGGAATGCCCACAGACTGGAACAATGATTGTTCACTGGATTAAAAAGGTCAGTGAAAGAAAGGATTTACCCGGTTATATGCTGATTCTGCACTTTCATTATATCTCTTTCTAGTTGAAAATATGAATGATTACTTCCCACTTGATCCTTTGTTGTGCAGTTCCCTTTTTTCTGCAGTGATCGGGAATATTTAATTGGTCGAAGAATATGGGAGGCTGGAAAAACTTATTATTGTTTGACAAAGGTGCTTTTCGAAGAAAATACTCATTGATGCTTGTATTGTAGCCCTCTTTCCACAATTATATCTTTACTTTCTTTTTGAACAGGAGATTGTCTTGTATGTAGCGATTCCATATATTTCACTTTAGAGAAATTGGCTGGATTGTGTTTCAGTTATGAGTCAAACGTAGAATAGAAATGAGATGGGTTGGGTAGAATCTAATTTGTCATCAGAAAAGCTGAACCAACAGAACTTAAAATATAATTTGAATTGGTTGGCATGCACTCTTGAAGTAATACAAAAAGGGGTCAGGTTTGCCCAAGTTACATTTGCAAGGTGAGCATAATAAAACTATGAAACTAAAAGCAAGAAACATTGTATCTTTGTTTTCTTTTGCAGTATAATCTTGCATCTCTTCTCATGCCGTGCATTTGAGTTTTTTTCATGGTTTGAGCATCATATCTTTTCTATTACAGTGTTCAGATAAAAAATATGATCATGTTGAAATTCATATATAGTCGAGTCTGATTCTATGAGCTACAATATTGCAGGGTGTTCCATATCCAAGTTTGCCTAAGCGTGACAAGCCCAGACGTGTGGAACAATATTTCTCTAGTTGGATAATCAAGGCTGGTAAGAATTCAATCAAAAACCTGATTTTGCAACAATAATTTGGTCAATCTTGGTAACAATGTAATGGCGAATACTCATTTGCTGAATTGGAAAGCAAATGCAGTGGAGTCTCGGAAAGGAGATGGACAGTTAACTGCATGTGAGGTTACCCTCGTACACTATGAAGACATGGGCATCCCCAAAGATGTGGCAAAGTTGGGCGTCCGTCATGGGATGTGGTCCACTGTCAAAAAATTACACTCTGGTATGAGAGCATACCAGAATGCGAGGAAATCAGAGGCTTGTCTGTCGCAAAGTGCCCAGATGGCCAAAATCACCACAAAGGTATCCTCCCATGGAAGCATGAATTATTTGGAGCCGACACCCGGAGAAGAGGAAAAAGGTCAAATCCCAAACAATAAAAGACCAAATGAAAACGGCATTGATTGGAAATGGATAGTTATAGGTGGATCTGTGGCTCTGGTTTGTGGACTTCACACAGGTGCAATAGGGAAGGGGTTGTTACTTGGAGCAGGGCAGAGATTCGCCCGAAGGAGATGAGAGGACCGTGCGAAGACTTATTCCAGCCAATCGCACACGTAATCTGCCACTCTGTTTCTATATTCTTGAATTTTATTTCCACATCAACCCATTAATTGTTACAAATTATGATAAAATTATGCGGTAAATTTTTTGTATTGGCTTCAAGCCTTCAACATCATGTCTATGTGTACCTTATGTTCGTTAATCTTATTCCTTATCGACATATCTTACGAGCTGTGAAAAATTACAGCAAGTGAAGTAAAGCACCTTAATGGCTTTGGGGATCCAATTTGTATGCCTTTTTTCAGCACACGAGTATGCATATTATATATGGATTTGTCCCCGGTAGTTCAGCTTATTAAGTAGTTCGGCTTTTCAAACAATTTTCTTTGTTTGATTTCTTAGAGTTAATATTTACTGTTCATTTTCAAGACTAACGAAGAAAGTATTTTATGTTAATCTATATTTGCGTGATGGTAACCGAGACTAGGAGAAATGAAAAACTCAACGATGTTGGTCGTGAGAGACAGGGCGGAGCCAAGTACAAGGCTCCTTTAGGCTATAGCATAGGAAGAGTTTGGTTCTAAGTTTAAAAATATTAATTTTTAGGTTAGTGTATGATTTTTAATTGTCATATTTCACATAAAAAATGAAATTTTTTATTAGTAAGTCTATTTTTAAGAATAATAAGAGCTAATAGATGTTAAATAAACTCATCATTTTAACCAATATTATATTTAATAGTAATAAATTAAAACTTCCATATTACAAATAGTTCCTTATTTTATTCACTTGAAAGCTTTGAAGGCTAGAAACCTAGAAAACATAGCATAAAATTCTTGCTTCAAATTACTACATTCAAGTTTTTACTATTATATAACTTGGGTTGTGATTTTCACACCCTTAACTACTTTTCCCATACCCCTTCCTATTATTTAATACTTAATTGATATCCTACTATTTAATCTTCCATATACACCCTTCCTACTTTTTTATGGTAATTAATGAAAGATTAAATAGGGAGGGGTATATATGGAAGATTAAATAGTATGATACAAATTAAGTATTATAAAATATGGAGGGATGTGGGAAAAGTAGTTAAGGGTGTGTGAAAATCACAACCCTATAACTTTATGTAGGCAACATAAGATTAAAATTTTGATTTCGTAGTAATAATTTTAACTTAGCCCACTCATCGAATAATTTCTAGCTACGCCATGAGAGAGTATAAAACATTGAAGGGGAACGCACGCTTGAGAAATATTCGAACAACATCGTGATATTGGAGATTTTTCTTAGTAAAAGTTTGTATGTTAAAGATTTTCGCGGGGAAATAGATAAAGTAGAACGTTTCTTTTTGGATCATTGAAATCCCACAAAGAAAAAAAAATATGATAAAGATGGTTGCAACGAAACTAGCTGTACGTGCATGATCAAGTCATAATTATTAAGCCAATAATTGAGCGGTGTTGGGTCATTGAGGCCCAAGTGCCATAATCAGGAAGAAATTGAGATCGACAAGTGAACGAGTTTGATGTAAGACAAGATATAAGTCGGTTCTTACAAATAAACAGAATAAAACTAAAACAATTCAAATTTGGATTAAAAAAATGGCAAAAAGAAAATTCATACATGATATCACATTAATTAAACTGTGATGCTCAGTCACAGAGATTTACGTGTTCTAACTATAACGAACTTTAGGTTTGCTAACTAATCAGTAGCAGGTTTGTTGATTAGTCTCAATCTCTCAAATCGTTCACGTTTTTTTTTTTTTTTTTTCTCATTCAAATCTTTCACGTTTTAATGGATCTAAATAATTTATGACAATTTCAAGTTATAATCATTTTGTTTCTGCCATAGAAACCTCACAACCACCACCATTACCAAGAGGTCCACCACAAGATTAATAAGAATACGGTGTATCAAATATCTAACAGTTTTATTGTACGATTATTATCAGAAACTCATCTTGATCTTTAGACAATCCTACTTCGTCTAGGACCCGGCCTCGACAGAAACCAATCCTGAGTTTTAAGCAATTCTACTCTACCTAGGACTCAGCCAAACCATCAGTGCTTCACCATTGGGTTGAGACTAGCAGCCTCCTTTCTAGACTGTCAACCAACTCGGCTCAAATTCAGGATTTAAGGACCAAATCCAGGATTTCAGACCAGTGCAATATTGAAAATGTTCATTGTCAGTGCCATTCCTGAAACCCTAATATCATCGATAACCTTTTTTTGTCAAAGAAACTGGTACTGTGGACTATTCTACAACATGTCCTCATGCACTGTCTCAATGGATGTACAAGGTTGAAAGAGATAGACCATCCATCGATATCCCACTTTCTTAACTGGAAGCTGGTGGTTGGCAGGCCCGGCCAAGCACCCTAACTCTAACTTAAAATTTATATTAAAAATGAAAATTTTTAGAGAATTTTGGAGCCTACCTGTGATGATAAATGTATAGTTTTTTAATAATTTTTTTGGTTCAACGTCTCATCCGTATTACCAAATGGCACACTTTATTCATGCTAATTAAAGCCTTAACCACCCACCAGTAGGAAGTGTGAATTTGGTAACTGGTTCTTGTCTTCTCACATATGGTATTGGATTTGCTGAAGGATTGGCTTTGGGTCACCAATGTCGGATATTGATATTATATTGATTTCTCCGTAGATGAGAGGGATTTAATTTATTTACTTATAAATTTTAAAATTTAAACTCACCTAACAATACTCAATACAATATATAGTTACTAGTAAGCTACATCACCATGCTTAGGTGGTGATTGGTGAGCAAAACTACTTTCTATTTGGTGAATTTAAATACTTGTTCAATAACTTTGAAAAAAAAAAAAAGGCTCAAAATAAAATAAAATACTTTGTAATAATAAATAAATTCCATATTAACTCAGTGGTAAGAACAGATACGATGATGGAAGAAAAATAAGCTAAAAATTTAGAACTCCAACGTTAAAGATAATTGGTTTGGATATGATTATTGACTATATATATTGAAGGCATTTTAAAAGAAGAAATGGAAACAACTTTTTTATTTTTTCTAAGTTGAAGGTTACTCATGAAAAAAAAATTGTCCATTTAAGTCCTACCATTCTGTGTGATTAGTAGGGATACTGCCCAAGCTTTCCAATCAATCAATCCTAAAGAAATTTTTTCTCCAGTAGTAATCTTCAACTTTGACAATATATAGGGGGCTCATTCCAAGTCAATGTCAAAAGGGGGCTCATTCCATAAAGTGGTGTATATTTATGGTCACTTTCATGTGAACAAAGTCCTATAATTTGGCATCATCCTTCTGTGTTTATTTTAGAGCTGGGCTTTGAATAAGAGTTGGCAGCCTACTAAGTTTGAAAGAACAGTTGTCCTACGTCTTCAATGGAAAACTGGTTGATCATGTAGTGTCTAATTAACTCTTTAGAATTTCCATTCCTCTTGCCTGGTCTTATTCTTTTCGCAACACCATTACTCATAAAAAGATGAAGAAGAAGAAATATTTTCAGATACTAAGTATTTGCTTTGATAAGGGATTGGAAGATAAGACGGAAGTTTTGGTTTGTGTTACCAAAACAATTGGTATCTTTTGAATTAAAAAAACTAACAGCAGCCACCATTTGTATTTGTGCAGAGTAACAGTTGTGATTGATTAAACCGAACGAGTACCCATTTGAAGAGGGACATCAACTTCTATAAATAGAGGTTAATTACTGCATATTTTGAATGTATGTTTTCACTCTTTCTTTTCGTATATAAGCAAAACCTCCATTATTATCTTGTAGTTTTATAATACAAATCTGGAAACCATTAAACTGCAGTGTTAGCTACTAGAATTCTCGAGTTTCTTGAAAGTCTTCTTTCGGTGTTGGGTTGATTTTCGTAACTGCAAGACGCAGATCGACAATAGCCAGTTGCTAAGTTTCATTGTATTCACATGCCTCTTTCTCATATTCCTATAGAGAAATTAATGAAAAAAAATTAAAAATTTTGAATTTTAATAAAAAATTATATAATTTCATTTAATAATAAAGACGAGAAAAAAAGAAGGATAAAAAAACTAACTAAAAACGCGTGCAAAATCAATCCTTAAATGAGGCTATTTTTGTTTGGTCGTGAAATGGGACTAATTTATTCAGCGGGAAAATGGGGGAGCTTTCCCCTTTCTTTGAAGAGATTTTTAATTGTGACAGGAATACAAGTGGTACACCATGTGTTTTTATGTAACTGGTGTGAAATTTTATTATTTAAGTTATTAACTTTTTAATACACATATCCTAGTATTTATATAGCAACACGTAATGTATCATCCTGTGTGACGATCACACTGAAAAATCTCTCCTTTCTTTAGCGCCAATATCATCATCCTATGCCAAGTTGTCCTCTTTTTCTTTTTCTTTTTATTTTTTTTACTTGACTAATCATTCCAGTCATAATATTTATCTTGCCATACATGGAGGAGGAAGAGTTTGCTCATCCCCTGGGTTGTGCGCATAATTCAAGAAGATAGTGTAATGCGCATAATTCAAGTAGATAGTGTAATGATAATGTGCCTTAATGTAAAAAGTATATCGGCAATATACTGTCAATATGGTTGAGATACGTCGTTGATACAAGTCATGCGCAAAACCATACACATAAAATGTGTATCTACTCAAGTTCTTCGTGATTGAGTAACGGGAAGACAATTCAAATTTCAAACTTGGACATGTATTAGGGAAGATCTAAGTGAATGAAATTCTATAAAGTTATGGATTTGTGAATGAAATTCTATGGGTTGCATCTGCGGGTGCCCTGAAATTGTGTTTTTATTTCATGTAAATTAAAAATACTCAATGTAAGAAATAATGATAGTATACATATTTAGTTTTAGAAATAGTTAGTGTTCACTTTAAGAAATAGTTAATGTTCAGTTTAAAAAATAGTCAATTTTCACTTTAAGAAATAGTTATAGCATCAGTATTCAGTTTAAGAAATAGTAATAGTACCCCTGTTCAATTATAGAAATATTCAGTGTTGAGTTTAAGAAATAGTCAATGTTCAGTTTAAGGAATAACGATAGTAATGGTGTTTAGTTAAAGAAATAGTGATAGTACTAGTGTTCAGTTTAAGAAATAATGATACTAGTAGTGCTCAGTTTAAGAAATAGTGATATTATAGTGTTCATTTTAAGAAATAATTGTAGTACTAGTGTTCAATTTAAAAAA